GCACTCCTCCAGTCTGAAGACACAAACACACACTTCACTTTACTTTACTTTACTTCATATGATACTGCACTCCTCTAGTCTGAAGACACAAAAACACACACTTCACTTTACTTTACTTTACTTCATATGATACTGCACTCCTCCAGTCTGAGGACACAAACACACACTTTACTTCACTTTATTTGACATTACTTCATATGATCCTGCACTCCTCCAGTCTGAAGACACAAACACACTTCACTTTCTTTTACTTTACTTTACATGATCCAGCACTCCTCCAGTCTGAAGGCACAAACACACACTTCACTTTACTTCACTTTACTTTATTTTACTTTACATGATCCTGCACTCCTCCAGTCTGAAGACACAAACACACACTTCACTTTACTTTACTTTATTTGACTTTACTTCACATGATCCTGCACTCCTCCAGTCTGAAAACACAAACACACACTTCACTTTACTTTAGTTTACTTCATATGATCCTGCACTCCTCTAGTCTGAAGACACAAACACACACTTCACTTTCTTTTACTTTACTTTATATGATCCTGCACTCCTCCAGTCTGAAGACACAAACACACACTTCACTTTATTTCACTTCACCTACTTCACGTCACTTCTTTTTTTCCTGCACTTTATTTCACTTTACGTTATTTCTGGTGCTGGGCAAGTTAACGCGTTATTATCGCGTTAACGCATTCATTAATTGACGCCGACAATTATTTTATAGCGGGTTAACGCATTTTTTTATTTTGAAAGTCTGTGGAGGAAGTCTTCAGACTACGTTGACGCAGCGTGTGGGAGAAGTAGAGATAAACTAAAGCAAGACAAGCTAACAGATGCTACAGAGAAGTGGAGACAAACTGCAGGTTAGTGTTGTGGAAGATGTTGGTCTGAGGAACGTTCTTAGGATCCCAACGAATGACGGCACGTATGAGCCTCAAGACGCACCATCACAAGAAGAATACACAAGAAGAATCCACAAGAAGAATACTGGACATCGCTGCGGTCAACTCAGCAGACACTTAAATTGTAGTGCACCTATATGCTGAAATTCACGGTAAACGCATTCAAACGGCACAGATCGGGAGCGAAACAATCCATGCGATTAATCGTGATTAAATATTTTAATGGCTGCCCAGCACTAGTTATTTCACTTCGCTTTATATTATGTCACTTTACTTACCTTTACACCTTCAACCTAAACTAGTTCATTAGTTTGTGAGGTAGTTAGTTAGTTAGTTGGTTATCTAGTTAGTGAGTTAGTTCGTTAGTAAGAAAGTTAGATAGTGAGTTGGTTAGTTGGTTAGCTAGTTAGTTAGGTAGTTACTGAGTGAGTGAGTGAGTGAGTGAGTGAGATAGTTAGATAGTGAGTGAGTGAGTTCGAGTGAGTGTGTTAGTTAGGTAGTTAGTTAGATAGTGAGTTAGTTAGTTGGTTGGTTAGTTGGTTAGCTAGTTGGCTAGTTAGTTAGTGAATGAGTTAGCTAAAGTGTTACCTGAGGTTCCCTAGCTGGTGAACAGGGTTCAGAGGAGAGACGAATCCCTGAAGAGCCTCCATGTAATCTGGACGAGACATGTGTTCAACCAGGAACTTCATCTGAGTCTGAAAACCAATCACAACACAGCAACACATCAGTATCAACCAATCGCAACACATCAGTATTACGATCATCATCATTATGAACACATTGTCCTCCTGTAGGGGGGTCTGTAGAGTCCTGAATCCACAGGTTCTTCAATGGGGGCATTCTTCTGTGGTACTAAAGGTCCTTCATAGACCTTTAAAGTCCCACTTTTTATGTCCCTTTGGGTGCGTTGCCCTTCCTTCCGTTGGCCGTAAAGAATTTTCTCATCTCATTTCTCAAATTCATCTTGTTCTGAATTCATTCTTTTTACATTTGTAAATTCATACATATATTTTTAAAAGCAATTATTTAGTCATGAAGAGGAACAGAGTAATAATAAGAGCAGCTCCGAGTAGTAATAAAATCCTAAAGATACCTTTCTGTAGCTCACCACTAGATGTCTCTACATCTCTCACACTGATCCTTTAAAATAGAAAACAGTCTGTTCTTGTTTTCATACTTTTTGTGTTTCATCCTTCTTCTCTTGTTTCAGTGTGTCGGTCAAGTTAACCAGTTTATCCATGGCCTCCACCTGCAGACACACACACACACACACACACGCACAGTTATTGACTGCAGTATCACACTGAACCACTAGATGTCTGTTCAGGTGTTTCTGTGCTCACCTATCTGTCCAGGTGTATCTGTGCTCACCTGTCTGTTAAGGTGCTTCAGGTACATGCCACAGGCTCTGCAGAAAGCTTCCAGCAGCAGACCAAACCGACGGGACACCGTCTTATTGTGCATCTCTGACCTGAGAACAGAGTTTCTGTTAGTTTTAATACAAAACTGTAGAACTAGAACCAACTAGAACTTGTAGATCTGTATGTGTTAACAGCTCTATGGGGAACTGTTCCTTCATTCCGCAGGTTGTGTTCCTCACTTGAGATGCCAGAAGAAGAAGTGTCCTATCCTCTGATTGGTCAGAGCTTTCTTTATCAGGAACCGAGCCAGAGGATTGTCCAGGTACATTTCGTACTTTAACACCTGCAAACACACAATTCACACACTGAGTTGGTCCTCTGATTGGCTGGTACTCCCTACCTTCATTGATTAGCAGTGAGATTGGTTAGGCTAAGAATATGAGGATAAACCAATCAGAGCCAGAGAAGGGCGGGTCATACCTTCTGTAACACGAATGAGCAAGTACTTAACTTTACAGTTTCAATTACTTCAAAGGTAGCACCGGCCAGGTGAGCGAGGTGACTGACCGGACAGAATAAATGTGAGGCTTCACCCTGACTATATACTTGGTAAGTACTTGTACTACATACCTAACGTACCTGTACCAAGAGGTCAAACCTACATGTACCAGCAGGTGAAACGTACCTGTATCAAGAGGTGGAACGTAAAAGTTCTATCACAGTCCCTTAATCTGAATATTTTACCCAACGCCTGGATGTGCATCTTTGGTGTTCAGGGGAGTGGAGGTCAGACGTTAATGAAGCAACACAAAAACATAATTGTTTTCTCAACCCTCTTGGCACGAAGGAGAATCCTATTGGACTGGAAGTCACCTCGTCCTCCCAGTTCCTCCATGTGGTTAAAGGACCTGGTGTTCTTTTTAAAATTGGAGAAAATTAAGTTCTCGCTGCGGCGACAGCCTGAGAAATTCGAATCTACTTGGGGTCCGATCATACGATACTTTGATAAATTGAAGACTCTCTCATTAGATTCATAAACCATCTCTGTGGCCTTGACCGATTTATCTTGACGTTGTTGTAGGAATTAAGAATAGCAATAACTTCTAATTTCCAGAAACTCATTACTGGTTTCTGTTTGTCTGTAATACCCTCCTACACCATTTTTACTTTTGTGTATACTTGAGCTACTAATACTGTAATGCGCTTTTTGACAATTGAAGCAGTGCGATTTGTTCTGTGTTGGGGGAATGTTGGGGGGGGAGAAAATGACAAATGACATGTGCAATGTATAACTGTGTACTCTGCTTTTGAGAATAAACACAATTTACAAAAAAAAAGAGGTGGAACGTACCTGTACCAAGAGGTCAAACCTACCTGTACCAGCAGGTGAAACGTACCTGTCTCAGGAGGTGAAACGTACCTGTACCAGCAGGTGAAACGTACCTGTACCAAGAGGTGAAACGTACCTTCACCAGGAGGTGGAACGTACCTGTACCAAGAGGTGAAACCTACCTGTACCAAGAGTTCAAACCTACCTGTACCAGCAGGTGAAACTTACCTGTATCAGGAGGGGAAACATACCTGTACCAGCAGGTGAAATGTACCTGTATCTAGGGGTGGAACGTACCTGTACCAGCAGGTGAAACGTACCCGTAGGCGACCAGGACATGAGGGCGTAAACTCACCTGTACGAGCTGCAGCAGGTACTGTGACAGCTTATCGTCAGTCAGGCCTTGTACCAGGCAGCGCAGAGCGAACTCTCTGACCATCGGATCAGGAAAGTTACAGTCCAACAACTCCAGAGCAGATTCAGGTTCCATTAGAGGCCACTCCTTCAGCAAGCAGTACATCTGAGGGGGGGGGGGGGGAGACAGGTAACTGATGAGATGAATTGAATAAAGAAGTCATCCTGACTGTGAGGAGGTGGTTTTCGTACCTGGGACACTTCGTCTCGAGAGTTCCATTTGACGGACAGAAGCAGCTTAGGAAGAGACTCTGGTATGTTTACACAGTAATGTCTGCAGAGAGAGAGAGACAGGTAGAGAAAAGGAAAGGCACAGGTAGACAGGTGAAGGTGGGTAAGGACAGTTTGGGAAGAAACGAGTCACATAGTCACAGACAAGAAGAGAAGAAGGGTAAAGAAAAAGGTAGAGAAAGGTGAGACAGGTAGAATCAATTATTTGTCTTAAAGACAAATTCAAGTTAAACCTGCTTCGCTCCTGTCTCTAAAGTAAGCCCCGCCCCTAACTGTGCCTCCACAGGAAGCCCCGCCCCTCACCTGTGCCTCCATAGGAAGTCCTTCTCCTGCTCTGAGAGTTCATATAGAGGATCTCTGGAGCAAAGAGAACGAAGCTGCTCTGCATCACTTGCTGAAGTTCTGCTGTCACAGGCCAGACGACTGCTCTGAGACAGGGAGACAGGTGGGAGAGAGACAGGTGGGACAGAGAGGGGGGGAGACAGGTAGAGGGAAGGAGACAGGTGGGAGAGAGATGGGGGGAGACAGGTAGAGGGAAGGAGAATGAAATTGTGGAATGAAAAATGCGAAAAAATGAATGAGATCTGCTGCCATCTTTGACGGGATAAATCTGTACAGATGTTGTTAGAAGTTTGACACTGTATAAATCAATGTATATATATATACATACGTGTGTAAACACGGATTACCTCTCCGTGGCAGTAGGTGTATTATATATATATATATATATATATATATATATTAGTGCTGGGCAACGATTACATTTTTAATGGTGATTAATCTCATTGTTATGGCAAAGTTCAATAATGAATTCTAAAGTAGTGTATTGCTCACTTTTATTTTGAAAGTCCTGCTATATGAACAAAAGGGCAATAACATTTGGTGTAAACACCTGAAACACATCAGGTTGTTGTTAGCAGCAGTGTTCTCTTTACACAGCAGCAGTTCTATCTCTTCACTATCTGTGCTCAGTGTGTGACTGTGTGTGAAACGTTCCACTGCTGTGCAACATGAACAACATATTTCACACGTTTCATCTACATGTGTGTGTTGTGTCTTCATGACAGTCAGAGCATGTGATGCAGCTCTACTGTTCATCACTATGATGCTGTAACTCAGAGGTGATGAAGGTGACCCAGC